TCTGATCATTCCGCCATAACAATCGCTTGGGCTTTTATTATATAGACTAGAGGCCTGATACACAAAATTCACACAAGAGTAGGCCTTCCTTTCCTTGGTGCCGACACTGGCTTCCCTCTGGGACCTGGGCTTCCCACCGGCTGCCTGCAGGCTCACGGGACCCGGGCTTCTCTCCAGGTGCCAGCAGGCATCCAGGACCCAGGCTTCTCTCGCAGCCCTGGCTTCATCCGGAAGGTCATCCCGTCTAAATAGCATATTATGCTTTTATTATTATAGATAATATTTTGTTGTATGGATAGGCCACATTTTGTTTATCTGTTCACCATTTTGTAGACATTTGGGTTGTTTACATTGGGGCTGTTATGTATAATGCTAATATGAACATTTGAGTTTAAGTTTTTATGTGGTGTTTTCAGTTCTTTTATTATATGCCTAGGAATAGAATCTTTAATTGATAAAGCAGTTTCATTTCAAAGCAGAGTTCTCATGGCAAGAGAACTAAAGTTTCTTATTTGGGGTGTTTTCTTCTATGTTGGTTCCTTAATATTGAAATTCTTTGCACTAGACCTCACCAGAGCACTGTGTTCCCAGGCATGGAAACCAACAGAAAAGCAAGAGCTGCAATCAGAAAGCATCAGAAATAATACAAATGCCCCCACATAATAAAGGATGCTTTCATAAACATAGGGTAACAAAATCCCAGTGGTTTACTCTCAACAAAGCATTCATTTCATTCACTTTATATATGAGGTGCAGTGTAAGATCAGGTGCAAATGAAGGAAAAATTAGGTTCAGTGAACACATTTATGAAAAGTATCCTATCCTTTGCTCTAGAGCAGTGTTTCCCAAACTTTTGACATATATGTACCCCTTTTATAATTTTCGTAACGCTGAGTACCCTTCGTCAAAAAAAAAAAAAAAAAAAAAATGGATGTGTTAGGCGCAGCTAAGCACGGTGCAGTGCATATCCCCACCAAACTTCCCGTACCCCTGGGGGTACGCGTACCACACTTTGGGAAACACTGCCCTAGAGCATGAACCTTTGGAGTGAGCAACATTTCTCTGTTGCCTGAGCCATCCACCTTCACAACCCAACTGAATTGAAAGGGGGAGGGGAGAGAGGGATCTGAAACAATTTATAGAATATTTCCATTCACCTCAGGAGCAGGTTTCAAGCACTGTCTTTACCTTCAAAGAAAGCCAGGGCAAGAGGAAAAATGGCTTTGAAATAGAGGTTGGCATTGAGCATCATGATCAGTCACACAGAGGTCACTAATTACTCTCCCTTTTGTTTTTCAGTGAACGAGATAATTGGGAGAGACATGTCTCAGATTTCTGTTTCCCAAGGAGCAGGGGTGAGCAGGGAGGCTCCCCTCCCTGGTCCCGATTCCCTGGATTTAGGAAGATCTGATGGGCTCTGACAGTGCTTGCTGCAGCCTTGCATCCACCACCATATACTTCTCAGCATGTTTCTGTCCTTGGACCTTGGGCTTCCAACTCTGCGGCCTTCAGGACTGGCGCCAGGAGTTGGGATTGCTGGGGAAAGCTGCGGTCCGCCACCTCAGGACTTGGGTAGATTTTGTAAAAGAACAGCAACAGCAGAGGCTGTTGAGCTTTGGGGAAACGAGCTTTGCTTTTTATTTTTGAATAGGATACTTTTATATGATGGGTGCTTTGAGTGTGAACGCAGCAGGCTCTTCATTTCAGAGGTGCTGCTTTTGCAGGTGACCTCATTGCTTAGCTAGAGAGTTAGTGATTTGAACTGCTTTGTGGTCATTTGAAGGACCTTTTAGCTTTAATGATATTTTTAAAATAGGAACTTTTGATAAAACTTTCCAGAGGCAAACATAAAAGAAAAAATTGTCCAAGCCCACACCTATGCCTCAGAAACTCAGCATGTGTCCTGAAGCCTTTCATAGATTCATAGGAAATGAAAGCCAAATGTAGCTCGTACCTCTGTAAAAGTAAACTGTTAGATAAAACGAGGAGACCATTCCAATCATTGAAGCGTTGGAATACTAAATGACATTCCAGAGTATAGCCTTTTTGTAACTTTCTAGATCTTCCTGCAGTCTCTCCATTCTGACTTCATGTTGAAATTGCTTTTTTCCCCTCAGGGCCTTGGGTAAGATAGCTACTTATAAGGTGACTGTGAAAGGTGAGGTTTTAGCTTCATAGCTTTAAGTCCCTGCCATCCTACAAACAAGTGCTCTTCCTTTTTGTGTCCTTTTCTAAGTGGGAGCATTAGCCTTTGGCTGCTCTGTAACCTTGGAAGCCAGTCTCATGATGGTTTAGGCAACTTGGCTGGTTCTAACTCACCCCCAGGGGCCAGGCTGTGTCAGGAGTTAAGCACAAATGAGCGATGCTTCAGAACAAGAGCAGAGAAAACACAAGACTCCAGATGGGAAGCTTTTAAGATTCATACTGGCCACGGAAGGCTTATCCCTCATCTGTTTACAGCCTGAAAAGATTTTCACCTTCCCTGTTCCATCTGCATGGCCTAAAAACCAGCCTTTTCCCAAAAAGGCTTTGAGCCAAATAAAAAAATGAGGTAGCATCATAAACCTGACCCTCCAGACCAAAGATGCTCTGGTGCTGCTGCAGGTGAGGCTGGCACTCAGGCAGGGGCCAGCAAGAACTCCAGCCTGCCGTCTACCAAAGGAGTGCCCAGCTTGGGTGCTTTTTCCAAGCCCATCCTCCCCACTCCCATTAACAGGATAAGTTACTTGGTCCAAGGCCTGGGCCATTTCAAAGCTCCTGGAGCTTGTAGTGTGTTCTCATGTGAAACGATACACTTTTATTTATTCAGAGAGCAAGATTTTTGAGTGCCTCCATATGAGACTGTGTGCTAGTCTGGTTAAAGGTCTGATGTTACTCCAGGGGATTATGGGTCCTAGATGCCAGGATTCTCTATGAGACTGAGTCCTGGGCAGAGGAAGCTCGTTCACTGCCTACCACCTAGTCACCCAGGTAGGAGCTACTGACCCAGGACGAGGAAGCGTTTGTTTCTCTCTAAGCCATGTTTTAGCTTTCTCCCTTAAAACTAGTGAAGAAAAGATGTCTGTCTTTCAGCAAATCACTCTGGTCCTTTTGGAGCTGGGTGTTTTCATATTTTCTTTGAAAATGTAGTGTAGTGAGATATTTCAGGGCCACGGTTGGAAGCCCACAGCTTCCTTTGGAGGTTGTCGGGGGCTGGCCAATAAGATGCAGTTCCACAGAGCTGGTCAGACTTGCCGCCACCCTTCTGTCCCTGGCATAGTGCCTCACATGGGATTCTTGCAAAAGTTCTCTTTGCAGGATCCATTGGGGGTGGCTTTGTTGTCCTCAAGAATAAAAGCCTCTATGATCCAGAGTTGCTATGCACCAAATTTTGATGCCTTTTAAATACCTTGATGCCTGTAGCACTAGAAATGCTTTCCTATTTAAAATAAAAGTTGAATTTTAAAATAGAGCTTTGTATACTATGTAAGCAGTTTTGTATCCGCTTTGTAAAAGCTTTGGTGTAAGAGTTCATATTTTTTGGCTTTGTAGATAAAGACTTACATTTTTGTGCAACATAGTGGTATTAAAGCACACATCCATTGGACTATGCAATTTGGGTTCTAGTTAGCAGCATTGAGCAGTTGGGCGTGTGCTAGCACCTACCCTTACCCCCTCCAGCGGGTGTGAGATCTTGGATTGAAGAGTGGGATGAGCAGCCCTCTGCTTATTCGAGATGCACAGAGAAACATGGCTGCAAACAGCTTTACAAGGAACAGCTGTCTCCGGGATCACATGTGGTGCTGCCGCCCGGGGTGCAGCCCACCACTGCCCAGGGCTGGTCACTAGCATCGGCGCTCTGCTGGGTCTGGCCGTGAAGCTGTTTTTGACACTCAGAACAGATGGTCATCTTTAAGGCTCAGATGGGCTCAAGTGGAAACCTCGTATTTTATAAAATGGATGATGTTCAGTTTACAGCACTCGGGATTGTGTTTTCTTGTACATTTTGTATTTTAAAACCTTTTATAGGAGTACAGTGCTCCTTACACAAATACAAAGGGAAGAGCCAGCAATTCAGGCTCCTCGGTTACAGTGCTGAAATAATAAACGATGTGACAGGTCAACAGTCTCCTTGAAATCTGCTTGAGTTTTCCTCTGCCTGGGGCGGGGTGAGGAGCCCCTCACCCTGGGGGCCAAAGCTAAGGGCACTTTGGCTTTTAAAAAGTCCACGTGGTTAGGAACCTTTATTTTCTGGAGAGGGTAGAGTTCCAGATTCTTGCTGCAGCTTCAGTTCTGCATCCTCTAATGGGTGCAAAGAACATTCCACCATGTCTGCTCAGTTCAGGACAACTGGCCTGCCCAAGGTGAGTGCGGAAAAGTAGGCAGAAGAGTCTGCTTTAAAAATTCAAGCCCGAGTTTTATATGAGGGCCTCCTGCCCCCTAGTGTCCTCTGGGGATACTGCAATACAGTCATCAAAACGGCCTGTGGTTTTGCAGTCTCTCTGGCATTCCTTGTGCCAAGCTGGAGGGGGCTGGCAGCCTTACGTAGGACCACCCCTGGCACAGTGTGGCCATTGAGGTCCAAGCATCCTGGGGACTGGGCCAACACTCTCTGTTTCTCTGCTCCCCCACCAGAAGCTCCAGGAGTCATACATTGAAGGCAGCAGGGCTTACATTTTAAAAAAGAAGGCAAGCCTGCTGTGGATGTCAGCCCCACAGTATCTGTGGGCATGGGCCATAGCCAGAGCAGGCCAAAGGCTCTCCAGGTGCCACTCAAGAGGCCCAGGCCAGGCCTTTGGGAGCAGGGTAGCACCATTCCACCCCTAGCCCTACATCCAAGACTCGGCCATTCATCTTTGGGGTGAACAGCAGAGCAGTAAGTGGGGGGGATGGAGCTGGGGCTTGAGCTCCTCCGAGTGCCTTCAGAGAGAAGTCGCCAGGATGAGGGCACTGGTTCTCCGGACGCAGGAGACGTGTTAGCTGAGGACATCAGTCAGCTCTTAACCTCCTGGCTCCCTCACCTACAAACACACCCACTCTTTGGGGGCCTGTAACACAGTGCGGGGTGGGTCACCCACAGGCATCAGGCTGGTGTAGTCATCCGGGGCGAGCTGCAGAAGGAACAGAGATTTAGGGCAGGGAGTTCTAGGCTCAGCCCCCCTAGTCCCCAAACCCCCCTAGTCACACCTCACCTGGTAGGCCTGAAAGACATTGAGCAGATCCTTCATACCAGCTGTGTATGGGACACCCTGCATACGGACCAGGGCTCCTGGTTGGGACAACACTGAGGTAGGAGCAGAAGCCAGGGCCGCAGGGGGCGTGGTGAGGTAGCCGACAGTGGTGGGAGAGACGGGGGGGCTAGGGTGGAAAAAGCAGGGTTTTAGTGATCCTACCTATGGCCTACCCCAAGACTCTCTTCCCTCTCCCCTCGCCTCTGACTTATACTTAGTTCATTTCATTCCTCCTCCCTACAGCCCTGTCCTCTACGTCATCTCCAGTCTAGTTTGTAGATAGCATCAGCTAGCCCGCATCTCACTCCCTTCTTTCAGACTGGAGGTTATCTGACCCAGGAACCGGGTCATGACCTTCCTCCAGACCAGGATGGGGGCAAGTCTATGCAGTTATCTTAGCAGCAGGGTACCTGGGGTAGTAAGCTGTGTAGTTCATGTAGAGTTGAGTGGCTGGCCCGGGGTAGTAGGCAATGGGGGTGGGGCCGGCAGGCACCCTGGCAGCTGGGAGCAGTGCCGAGGAGGGGTAGAGAGCTGCCGTCTCGGTGGGAATGAGCGTTGGGGTGGCTTGGAAGGTGGCGTAGGCTGGTGGCGAGAGGCCTAGAGGCGGAAGCAGAGAGTACGTTTCAGGGGGCCCGGCGCTGCCCGGAGTGCGGCAGCCAGAAGTTCCCACTGCAGGAAGTGAAGGTTATAACAACCTGGCACCCACATGCCTCCTCCCTCCCCTGCCCTGGGATACTCACAGGGTAGTTTGCAGGGTGGGGGAGACATGCCACTGCGACCCAGAGTGCCCCCCATCAGCACGCGGCTCATCTCCTCCGTGGAGCAGGGGACTACCTCCACGTAGCGCTCCTTCATCACTTTCTTATGGCAGCGCTGAGAAGCGGCCAAGGCCCGCTCTGCCGACGTCATCTGGATGAAGGCGTCGCCGGAGGGCCGGCCCTGTGCACACCGCCTTATAAGCGGTCTGTCCTGTTGGCAAGGGCGCCTCACTCCCACCCACGCGCTCCTCTCCGTGTGGCCCCCGCTTGGCAGCACCCTCACCTGCTGGTTGAGCACCATGTGCACCCCATGGGGCCGGATGTCCGCGGCTGCCTCCCCCAGGAAGCTCAGGATGTCTTCGATGGTGGCCGTGTAGGGCAGGCCTCGGAGGCGTACGCAGTCCCTCCCGGTCCCGGCCACCATCGGGAAGGGGATGGGCAGCAGTGGGGCCGTCAGCGTGGGAAGGAGTGGACTGGAAGCATAGCGGTTCAGGACCTATAAGGAAGGCAGCACCTGCTCATGCCACGTCGGGCAGGGACACGGGGTGGAGTGGGGGTGAAGGGGGCGCCCTGGAGGAGCCCATGGGGGCGGTGGGGGAGCCCTGGGTTCTCACCTGCTGCACCTCGGCCGCAGTGCTTCGGAAGAGTTCGATGTATCGCTTACCCAGCATGCCCTTGTGCCTGCGCAGGGCAGCCTGAGCCAGCTCCTCGCAGGCAAAGAGGGCAAAGGCGTCGCCCGTGGGCCGACCGTCAGGGTGGCGCACAAAGAGCAGCCCGTCGGCGCCCCCCGTCACCGGGCACTCGGGCCCCAGGAAGTCGAGCACGTCCGCTGGCCCAGCCGAGAAGGGCAGCCCCCGCAGCCGCAGGATCACCTGGTCTTCCCGCGACAGGAACCGCGCCACCTCTAGCGACGTGCCTTGATGAGGGTGGCATGGTGGGAGTCACCTACTGACTTCACGCATGCCCTTCCAACTACCCCTCCAAACCTGGCACACAGGGGAGCAGAAAGGCAAGGGGTGGTGGGGAGGTGGGACACGGGTCAAGAACGGGGGGGAGGGGAGGGCGCTAGGTGCTGCTGGGGGCACCACTCACCCCCTGCGATCTTGACAAACTCCTCTCCCGTGGCTTTGTATACCTGTGGGGACAGCGGGGACAGTCCGTGGGTCTCGGGCCAGAGGGAGGGGGCTGGCCTCGGCTCGGCTCGGCTCGGCTCCCAGCCCAAAGCCCCACCTCAATGTAGCGGACACCCATGTGGTGCTTGTGTCTCTGCAACGCCAGGTCCCGCTGCTCGCTGTCCACAAAGCGGATGAGGGCCTCGCCGTTTCTTCGCCCCTGGGCGTTGAGGCAGAGGGCCACACCGCCCCTGTGGGGCCAGTGCCATGTTAGTGCCTCCCGGGCAGGCCCGCCCTCCCGGGCCCACCATGGCGCTGCACCCACCTGGCGATGTTGAGTCCTTTGAAGAAGCGGGCCACGTCCTGGTCTGACGACTGCCAGGGCAGCCCACGGGCCCGGACCACGGTCTCGCTGTCCACCACCTCGGCCTTGCTGCTGCGGGGGGAGGGCCCAGGGTCAGAGCCCTCTCTCTGTCCCGTTAACAAGGGTGCCTTACTACTGTCACCCCCATCCCTGCCCTGCACTCACCAAGGTCCGGTCTCATATTTCTGCTTTATCACCTCGGGCTTCGAAAACAACTGACCTGAGAGGAGAGGACAGTGGGAGTCAGCAGGGGCTGGTGCAGGGGGTCTCCCCACCAAACTCTTTAAAAAGAGGACAGTTGAGGAGGAGGTGACAAAGGGGCTCCCCCCATATGGCCTCTCAGAAAAGCTAAGAATGAGGGAAGGGGACTTGGAGGAATGAATAGGCAGGCATCCACCCAGCCCCGGGAGAGATCAGGTAAACAGATGGTGAGGGGAACCTTACCGCTGGGCCCTTCGAGTAGGTGGAGGATGACAGCTACCATTGTCTTCACTTCCCAGACCCCAAAGTCATCCTCTGTGGCGTCTGTTTCCAGCCCCAACTCTGCGACCAGTGAAATTACAATGAGGAAATCCCGGCATCGGAGGCTGGGGGCAATCAGCGTGAGCACTATGACTGGTCTCGCCTAGGCCCGCGTCCCCTCCATAAGCATGGGAATCCCAGCAAGCACATATGTTTTGGCCCTGCTCATGTATGCCCTGACAGACCCCCCCCCAGCCCAGACATAGGTAGACATGTCTACTTTCCAAATGTGCCCCAGACATGCATGGAAGGACTCAGCAGATCATGCTAATTGGATGCGTTCATATAACCCACCAGCATGCACATACTCAGACACACAGAGCCTATGACTGCCCCTCCACTCTAACTCCCCTGGGCCACAGGTACCCTGTGCCATGGTGGCCACGGTGAGGTCCCTGGCGAGGCGGGCGCTTGGGTGCTGCGCATGGAACTCTCTGCGGAGGTCGTAGAAGGAGAAGAAGGTGGCGGGGAGTACCAGGTTCTGGGGGCACACGTGAGCAGAGATGAATAGACGAAACAGCGGCCCAGTCCCTTGACGACAGTGGAAACCCTGCCCCCTGCTGTGCCCTCAGCGGCGTACCTTCCTAGAGGCCTCAGGGTGCAGGACCTGGCGCAGCAGCTGCTGTCCGTCAGTGCAGAGCACGTAGGTGCCCCCGCCCAGCAGAGCCACATCCCCGATCACCAGCTGTGAGAACTGGGGAGAGAGAGACAGACTCACAGCTGGGCAGGCAGGAAGAAGGAGGGCGCAGGCTGCCAAGCTGGTTCTGCCAGATGTTCAGCCAGCCCTACCCTGTTTTGGGGAGTAGGTGGCCATACCTGTTGGGCCTGGCTCTGCAGTTCCCTTTTTCCCCTCAGTCCACCATCAGCTTCTCCAGGCCAAAAGGGGGCAGTTACATACCCCTCAAACCCCCACCGCACGCACACACTCCAGGCAAGCACACACTCCAGGCGTCTGGAGTGCGGCCAGAGCAAACACCTGGTGGAGTGGGGACAAGCAGGTGGGAAGGGGGGGGCGGGGTAGAGCAGGTTAAACCTGTCCCTGACCAGGCTCCACCTTCAGACAGGTGGGAGAGGCCGAGTCCCGCCTGAGGCCCATCCGGCTCACGGTCAACGGCAGCCCCGCCTCTAGGTCTGACCAACCGAGGGCCAGAGAAACTCCAAGGACAGAACTCCGCACCTGGACGCCAGGGGCAGCATGAGCTTTGACCCACACCCTATCGACCTGCTGGCACAGAGCTGTTTGCACACAGAGGGGGGATGGCACTCCTGAAACTGCCCAGCCCCTCCCCCAGCCTCCATCCCTGTGGGAGAACAGGTATAAGCACTAAGCACAGCCCCCAGAAACTCCCTCCCCCACGCCAACCTCACAAGTCTGAGACCGGCAGAGCAAGGCAACCCAGCTCTCCTGCAGCACACTCCCCATCTTTGTGCTTCCATTCCCTCATCAGGAACTGCCAGGGTTGGAAAAATGAAAGAATGTGTGCGTGTAAAAAAGCACTTAACACTCATTATCCTCAACAGTCAGACCCGGGTTGAGCACCGTGGTGAAGATCAGAGGAAACAGCAATGGGAACAGCCTCCCACTTCAGCCAGGCCAGGAGGCACCCAACCCCAGGCCTCTGCACTCAGGAGGCAGGGAGCCTGCAGGTGCGGCCCGGACAGCGCCCACGCTTGGACAGCCGGCCGGGGCAGGCCTCAACGAGCAGCTCACCGAGCAGCTTCCACCTGGCGCGTCTGCCTCTGGGCCAGACACCGCCCTCCGCCCCCGCCCCCGCGTCTCCCGGGCTGGTGGTGGGTGGGCCGAGGTCGCAGCAGGCGGGAGGGACCGTGACCTATGACCAAGCCCCCCCCCCCCCTTGGCCCTTTTCGGCTTCTGGCTACTGTCCGGAGAGGCCTGGCTGGACAGGTTCCCAGGTTCCGTCTCGGCCGGGGGAACTCTAGGAAGGGTCTCGGGGCCTCCATCCCCACCCCCTCCATACGTGGATCTGGAAAGACTGAAAGGTAAGAACTCCCCGGACATGGCCGGCGGCACCCGCGAACACACGCACACGCGGGAGAGTCTATGCAAGTTTCAAACCACAGGAACCCGTCCTACCGCCCCGGCCAGTCCGCCCCGGCGCCGGGCCTGGCTCTCCTCCCTCCCGCCGCCTCTCGGCGCGGACAGAGGCCCGGGTCCCGCCGCGCCCCCGCGCCGCGCCGCTCACCTGCTGCAGCACCTTGTCCAGCGGCTCGGCCCGCGCCAGGCTGTCGGCGCTCAGGCCGCTCGCCTCGCGGCACTGCGGGCTCAGGGCGGCCGCCTCGGCGCGCACCAGCGACTTGTGCAGCGTCCCCACCTGCGGGAGGCGGGGGGACCGAACCGATCAGCCCTGCGCCCCTGGATCCCGAAGCCCCCGGGGGGACGCCTCCCACCCACCCTCTCCGCACCCTACCTGGCGGCTCCGCGGCTCCACCACTTGCCACACCAGCAGGATTAAGTCGGTCTCGTCGGTGCCCAGATCCGGCCCCAGGGCGCCGGCCGTGGCCCCGAACAGGACGACCAGGGGGCCCAGGGGCCCGGGAGGCTCCGGGCGGGTCTCGGCGGGAGAGCCGGCGGCGGGGCTCTGGCCCGGGGGCGGCGGCGGCGGGGGCGGCGGCGGCTGCGGGGGCGCCGGAGTCATGGCCGCGGAGAGAGGGGGCGCCCGGCCACGCACACGCGGACCGACGAGGCGCACGCTCGCACCGACCGACCGACCGACGGCAGACGCGGCGCGGCTTAGGGCGGGACCCCGGGCGTCGGGGGCGGCACCTGCGGCCCGGCTGGCGCAGTGGCTGGCGCAGTGGGCGCTGCTGGGACCCGCCCGCAGCAGCGCCCGGCGAGGCGAGGCGAGGCGAGGCGGGGCGGCTACCGCCCCAATCCTCTCCGGGCGAGTTACCTGTGGGTCCCGGGCCACGTGACCGGGGCGGCCCTGGGAGCGGGGGGGGGGAGGGAGGAGGGGGGAGGCTGCCAGCACCGGCCCGGGGCGCGCCAGGCTCACCCGCCCGCCTGGGCGTGCTTAGGACCCAGAGCCCCACTCCTCCCAGCCGGCTGGTTTCTGGGGCGACCTCCACCCCCTCCTCCTCCACCCCCTCCTCTTCCTCCTCCTCCCCACCAGGAGGCCTCAGCCAAGAAAACGGCCACACCAGAGGCCTCCTCTAGTCCTAAGGGGCACAAAATCACCAGGAGTCCATGTAGAAGGTGCGGGGGCGTCGGGCCGGCTTTGGGGGGGGGGGGGGGAGAAGTCCCCAAAAGTCAAAGGGGACGATCACCCTAGGCAGACTGGGGCGATGCCGAGAGGTCATGTAGGGCCGTGGGGGGTGGAGGAGGAGGTGTCCTGAGGTCAAAGGGCAGAGTTCGTCCATGCAGGTGGAGAGGCCAGGCCTCAGCCCGGCTCCGGGAAGCGCGCCTGGTGCCACAGCGCGCGCGGAGGTGGAGGTGCGCGGGCCGGGGCGCTGGGAGGTGGGGGTGCGCGGGCCGGGGCGCTGGGAGGTGGAGGTGCGCGGGCCGGGGCGCTGGGAGGTGGGAGTGCGCGGGCCGGGGTGCTGGGAGGTGGGGGTGCGCGGGCCGGGGTGCTGGGAGGTGGAGGTGCGCGGGCCGGGGTGCTGCGGCGGGAGGAGGAGGAAGACATCCCCTTGCCCTGGCTCCAGAGACTGGCTCTCCAGCCGGGCCAAGCCGGACGGTCCGGGCCAGGAGCCTCAGCCCTGCCCCACGTGGGGCTCCGGCCGGCCGGTCCCGGCAGCCCGGCCCCTTTGGCGCGGGGCCCGCTGTGGCCGGGAGAGGAGCGCGCCGGCGGGCGGGGACCCGAAGCAGCAAACGCGTCACGTGCGCGCGCGGGCGGCCGAGCCTCTTCTCCTTCCCGGACCGGCGTCCCGACCAGCGCCCTTTCGCCTCGTCCCTCTCGGCGAGGCTCCTTGACGGCGAGTTTCCGGGCCGCCCTGTATCCCCCCCAATTTCCCCGTGTATGTGACTTAAGAGACTCAGAATCCATCCGGTGGGAAAGAGGGACTCCAACCCGGCGAGAACAAAAACGTGGGGTGGCGCGGAAACCGGTTTGGCTCGGTGGATAGAGCGTCGGCCTGCGGACTGAAAGGTCCCGGGTTCGATTCCGATCAAGGGCATGTACCTTGGTTGCGGGCACATCCCCAGTGTGGGGGGGGGGGGGAGTGCGGGAGGCAGCTGATCGATGATTCTCTCTCATGGATGTTTCTAACTCTCTATCCCTCTCTCTTCCTCTCTGTAAAAAATCAATAAAATATATACTTAAAACAAAACCAAAAAGAACGTGGGGTGGCCAAGACCGAGCTGAAACCGAGGCGGGAGCCGCACCCCGCGCGGTTTCGGAAAAGCAGGGCGTTGCGTCCGGGCCCTCGGACCCGGGGTGGCGGGGGCCTCCGGCGCCTCGCGCCCTGAACCCACACTCCGGCGCGTCCCCGTGGGGAGGATTGAGCCGGGAGCGCCGGGGTCGGAAGTGACCGGCACCGGGACGCGGCCGCCCGTAGGGGGAGGGAGTGGGAAGCAGACGGTCTTTAATCCAGAGGCTTCCGGCGCCCAGCGCTTCCCCTGGGGGGGAACGTAGCCTGGTGTCCACGCGCCGCTGCCCTCTCCGGACCGCCCTCCCCTGGGGACGCCGAGCCAGCCGGGCCCGGGGGAGGGGAAGCGTCGCTCCCGGGCCTCGCCCCCCTGAGATAAGCCCGGAATGTCAAATATTTGCTCGCGGGGCCGGGCGCCGCGGCGACGGCAGGCCCCGCCCCTTTCGAGGGCAGGCCCCGCCCCCGGCGCGCGCATGCGCTGCGCGGAGTCGGCCCTTCCCGGGGCCCGGCCTCCCTCCAGCCCCGCGTTCCCCGCAGCGGCACCTCACAGCCCCGGACTCGCCTACAATTCCCCTCCCCGGCTCTTCTCCGGCTGCTCCTGCGGGACAGAGCCCGGGCGCCCCCCCCCGCGGGCCATCCTGGAACTGCTTGGTCTCCGTCTCGCCCATCCCAGCGCCCCCATGCGTCCAGCCTCCAGTCCGCGCTGGGCTTTTTCCCTGTTCTGCTCGGGGGGCTCCACCCTGGCGCCTCCTGAAGCCTCCCTTTCTCAGGGTGATGCTCAGGCCTCCCTGAGCGCATTCCCATGGAAGACGCCTTCATGGGTGTCCAAGTTCCTACTGGATGGTGAACCCGAGCCAAGGGGCTAACAGCTCCCGAAAACCCCCGTGCCTCCGAACTTCCGCCCCCAGCTGCAGGACAATTCCCGAGGCTTGGACTCTCCTTGAAAAACTAAATTAGTGAAAACACCCTTAAGGGCCCTGCTTTGTTGATCTCTCTTACTCATCTTAGGATGGATCCTCCCAAAACCATCCCATTAATACTAAGCAAACCCGCACTCCTGTCCTCTATTCGGCTCTCACACCTCTTTTCCCCCAGCACCAAACCAACTTCTAACACAATAAGGCATTTATGCCCCAGCTGGTGTGGCTCAGTGGATAGAGCGTCAGCCTGCGGACTAAAGGGTCTGGGATTTGATTCTGGTCAAGGGCACACGCCCAGGTTATGGGCTTAATCCCCAGCAGGGGGCGTGAAGGAGGCAGCCGGTCATTGATTCTTTCTCATCATTGATGTTTCTATCTCTCCCTCTCCCTTACTTGCTAAAATCAATTAAAAAAAAAAAATAAGTCACTTATTGTTTCCTTGCTCCAGCCCCCACCCATGAGAACACCAGATCTTTGAGGACAGGCTCATTCCCACTGGGCCTGAGACATAGTATAGTTGGCCTTCCCAAATCAAGGTTCTGTATCCATGGATGCAGCCAACTGCGGATATATATTTATTGATTATGGTATCACAAACTTGTTCTCATCCCCCCATTCCCATCCCAAACCCCTCCCCACGTATGCCCCCACCCTCCTGTTGTCCATGACCACTGGTTAGGCTTATATGCAATTATATATATATTTTTAAATTCCAGAAAGTTGCTCCCTAAAAATGCAGTATAAAAATTATTTACATATTATTTACCTTATACAAGTTGTCCCCAAAATATACACACAATACCTGTAGATTCCATTACTTTTTAAAAAATATATTTTATTGATTTTTTTTTTTTCTTAACAGAGAGGAAGGGAGAGGGATAGAGAGTTAGAAACATTGATGAGAAAGAAACATCAATCAGCTCCCTCCTGCGCACTCCCTGCTGGGCATGTGCCTGCAACAAGGTACATGCCTTTGACAGGAATTGAACCTGGGACCCTTGAGTCCACAGGCCAATGTTCTATCCTCTGAGCCAAACCGGTTAGGGCTCATTTTGAAAATGAAATGTATTTTAGTAAACACTGCCTTTATAATTATTCAAAGTGTGTAGATATCATTTTGGGATACCCTGTATAAGGTGTAAGTAATCTAGAGGTAATTTAAAGCTTAGGTCAGCCAAAACCGGTTTGGCTCAGTGGTAGAGCGTCGGTCTAAGGACTGAAGGGTCCCAGGTTCAATTCCAGTCAAGGGCATGTACCTTGGTTGCGGGCACATCCCCGGTAGGGGGTGTGCAAGAGGCAGCTGGTCGATGTTTCTCTCTCATCGACGTTTCTAGCTCTCTATCTCTCTCCCTTCCTCTCTGTAAAATATCAATAAAATATATATTTAAAAAAATTTAAAAAAAAAAAAATAAAGCCTACGTCAGGTGGTTCAGTCGGAAGGAAGCATCATCTCACAAACCAAAAGACTGAAGGTTCGACTCTGGGTCAGAGCACATAACCAGGTTTTAGGTTTGATCCCCAGTCAGGGCGTGCAGGAGGCAAACCTATTGGTGTTTGTGAGACAGTGCAATGTTTGATGTTTCTCACATTGATGTTTCTCTCTCTGTTGTCTCCTCCCTTCCACTCTCTCTAAAAGTCAGTGGAAAGCCAAAACCGGTTTGGCTCAATGAATAGATCGTTGGCTTGGGGACTGAAGGGACCCAGGTTCGATTCTGGTCAAGGGCATGTACCTTGGTTGCGGGCATATCCCCAATGAGGGGTGTGCAGGAGGCAGCTGATCGATGACTCTCTCATCGATGTTTTTAGCTCTCTATCTCTCTCCCTTCCTCTCTACAAAATCAATAAAATATATTTAAAAAAAAAAAAAAGAATTTATGGCTTTTAAAAGTCAGTGGAAAGATATCCCAATACATACATACATACATCCTGGGTGGAGTGAGGATAAAAAAAAAAAAAGTTTTGTGCCGAAACCGGTTCGGCTCAATGGTAGAGCGTCAGTCTGCGGACTGAAAGGTCCCGGGTTCGATTCCGGTCAGGGGCATGTACATTGGTTGCAGGCACATCCCGGTAGGGGGTGTGCAAGAAGCAGCTGGTCGATGTTTCTCTCTCATCGACGTTTCTAGCTCTCTATCTCTCTCCCCTTCTCTCTGTAAAAAAATCAATAAAATATATATTAAAAAAAAAGTTTTGTGTGTCTGTTTTTTAAGTGCAGGTCAGGACATGCCTAGGTTGTAGGCAAATACTACACCAGTTCACTTTTTTTTTATTTTTTTTTAATTTTATGTTCTTACTGACTTTGGAGAGAGAAGAAGGGTTCTTTGGAGAGAGAGAAACATCGATGTGAGAGAGAAACATTGATCTGTTGCCTCCTATAGATGCCCCAACCAGGGATTGATCCACAAGCAAGGTATGTGCCCTGACTGGAACTGAATCAGTGCTTTTTCAAGGTGATGCTTAACCAACTGAGCCACACTGGCCAGGGCTACTACACCATTATATACATATATATATATATATATATATATATCGTTTATATATATATGAGCATCAGGATAATGTTGGTGTGGGGGCATTAGGAGGAGTGAGGTCCTAGAATCAATGCGTAGGGAGCATCATAGTTGCCGAAGACCTAATGAATGAAGGGCCGGCTTGCTTAGTCTGCCTCCAGCGATGGTCACCTTCCCTGGGCCACAGAGCCTTTCCACTAGTCTCATCTGCTCTCTTCACTTCCCTAACAACTCGCCCTTGACCTGCTTAAGGGTGCTCTTCCTCCAGATTTCCCCCTCAAGGCGCCTCCCTCTGAAGCAGAGATCCCTACAGTAGTTTGAAATGTCTGTATTTCAAAACTCCCACTAGGACTTACGAATTACGAATGAATGAATCGGAGATAGTAGGTGTGTGGAGAGGGGTGAGTGAGGCTCCAGCGATCCTGCCAGATGCCTTTTCCAAATCGTACTCCAGGTATTTGGCAAAGAGGAGCTTGGCCTCTCCAGCCTAGCCTCTCTCTAGGAATCCCATCCTTGCTTCTTCCCCCTCACTTCGTGGCAGGACCCGAAGGGCAAGTCCTGCCCACTCATCTGGGCAGACAGACACCAGGGTGAGGATCGTCGCCTGGGACGGGCAGTGTGGCGGGTCTCGTGGACCTATCTATAGGGAGTCTAGTAGGAGCGGTGTAAAAACCTCCTGCCTGGCCAGAAAATGTCCTGCAGTGAGAGAGGATTCCAGGCTGGGTGCCTGCCGGTGGCCCCCGCAGCGACCCACACTGGCTGTCCCAGGCCCATCCCACCCCTAGGGGCCCAGCTGCACCAGGCCACCTTCCTTATCTCTCCGCCGGCAGAGCGGGGCTCCCCGGAGTTCCCATCCAGCCCCTTGGCCGGGTCCCCGCCGAGTGCCCACCAGGGGGCGCACTGACTGCCGCCTGATCCTTGAGGAGGAGCAGCCCTGGAAGGTTGTACTTGAGGTGAAAGGGGAAGGCCCTTGACGCCCCGCACCCTCGCACCCAAGCCGCCTCTCTCAGGCTGAGAATCTTCGCAGCTCCTGGCTCCCTGGACAAAGGCCACGTTTCTTCTTTTTCTTTTTTCTTTTTTTTTTTTTTTTTGTCTCCCACCCCCTCTCCACCTCCTCCCAAGTTTTAAGCTTTTTTTTTTTTTTTTTTTTTAAATATATTTTATTTATTTTTTTACAGAGAGGAAGGGAGAGGGATAGAGAGTTAGAAATACCAATGAGAAAAACATAGATCAGCTGCCTCCTGCACCCTCCCTAGTGGGGATGTGCCCGCAACCAAGGTACATGCCCTTGACCGGAATTGAACCTGGGACGCTTGAGTTCGCCCTATCCACTGAGCCAAACTGATTTCGGCAAGCTTGGTTTTCAGTACAACCTCAGTTCTTTCCACGCTCACCCACCATGTGCTCCAGACACACTGCTGTGATTGTTCAAGTCTCGAGGCTGTTGTCCTTCCATGCTCCCTGCTGGAGCGCTCTTTTTCTTGACAAACTTCTGTTGTTCAAGACCCATCTCTAATTCTCGCTCCAGGCAGTCTTCCTTGATGCCCAGGCCAGTTTCCTCAGAGTTCTGTCATGATCGGTCCGTCTTTGGCCTCTCGTGACTCCAGGGAGCCTGCTGAGCCAGGAGCTTTAGGAAGATACGTTGACCTCCACATGGGCTCAGTTCCAGCTGCCAAACCAGCCCAGAAACCATGGTCTTGATTGGGTTGCCCCTTTTCCAGGTCTGACAGGCACTAGGACACTACTCTCCTAGAAGTGTTGTAGAGAAGGGAGGGGGTGGTCTCATTCATTCAACATATAATATGTTAAGCACCTGCTGTATGCCAGGGACTGTGCTGGTGGTAACTAGTAGTGAAGGAGGGGACTATAATAGGACAGATGAGGGGCCTACTCTTTCAGTGACTTTATATATACATACACATATATTTATTACATATTGTCATTTTTATCCTCACCCGAGGATATGTTTTTTTTTTTCCTCATTGAGTCTAAAGAGAGAGGATGGGCCGAAACCAGTTTGGCTCGGTGGTAGAGCATCGGTCTGCGGACTGAAAGGTCCCAGGTTCGATTCCGGTCAAGGGCATGTACATTGGTTGTGGGCACATCCCCAGTGGGGGTGTGCAGGAGGCAGCTGATCGATGTTTCTCTCTCATCGACGTTTCTAGCTCTCTATCTCTCTCCCTTCCTCTCTGTAAAAAATCAATAAAATATATATTTTTTTAAAAAAGAGAGAGAAAGAAAGAAACCTCAATATGAGAAAAATCAATTAGTTATCCCCCATAAATGCCCTGACCAGGAATCAAGCTGGAAACCTGGGTGTTTGCCCTGACTTGGAATTGAACCTGTGACCCTTCCGTGCATGGGAGGACACTGTAAACACGGAGCAAACTGGGCAAGGCCAGTGATTGTATTTACTGGGAGCCAGGCAAGGGCTGCTTCAAAGTCAATGGTCATGTCTGGGCTGAGGCCTAAATGCAGAGCTCAACTGAGTCCCCCAAAGTGGAGGCTGCAGACTAGGCCCAGTGCAGAAGACCTGAGGGAGAATGAGGTTTTTCTGTTCTAAGCAGCAAGGAAGCCATTGAGGCTGGCGATGAGAGAGCTGCCGGAGTGGAAATTTGGGGAGACAGCCAGGGTGCACAGTAGGGTCCTCACTCACTCTGATTCATGCATGCAATGGGAGAGTCATGAGTGGGATTAGGTGGGCATGCTGGAGCCTGACAATGTTTAATAATGTCCGTCCGGCATGTGGAGAACAATGGGGATGAGGGTAGTTTGGCTTTGGGGAGACTTGATGACCACCTGGTTGTGGGCCTGAGCGTCAGGAAGGTATCTAGAGGATAACTCCAAGTCTCTGCTCACTCTTCACACTGTTCCTCCTGCAGATACCGCGTGGGTGGTTGGGTCACGTGAAATGGGGGGGACCCTCACCTTCTGACTCCTCTCCATTGTGCCAGCATGAATCATTGCTGACCAAACTGTGGCTCCCCTCCCCCAATGGCCCTGGTTCCTATCACCTTATCACCTGCAGGGCCTGTGGGAGTGGGGCACCTCGGGAACCACGTCTGAGGACAGAGCCACCCTGTGCGGGACCCATGGTCTCCTGAGACTGCTGGGCTGATAAGACAGTCAGACTGTGCCAGGGTTCAACGTGGCCCAAGCTGTCATGTTCCCTGTTCTTCTCCCCACTTAACCCTTGATCTTTAACCTCCTGCCTGTCCCTAGCCCTGGCAGAAGGATCTCTGATTTCCCACACTGGGCCTGCCAGGTCAGTCCTCAGGGACTCATTTTCGTGTTTGTTTTGTTTTTTGTTTTTGTTTTCAGGGACTCTTCTACTGAGGTCTGGGATGGAGGTGAGGGAGGCAGGGGTGTTTTTTTATGGGGGGTGGGTGGGGAGAGGCCCCAGGCTAGATAGGGCCTGAAGTGGGAGATAGTTGGACCTTAAAGGAGGGCCAATGTATTTCACTATAAGAAAATAGGAGCCAAAACCGGTTTGGCTCAGTGGATAGAGCGTCGGCCTGCGGCCTCCAGGGTCCCAGGTTCGATTCCGGTCAAGGGCATGTACCTTGGTTGCGGGCACATCCCCAGTAGGGGGTGTGCAAGAGGCAACTGATGGATGATTCTCTCTCATCGATGTTTCTAACTCTCTATCCCTCTCTTCCTCTCTGTAAAAAAAAATCAATAAAAATATATTTTAAAAAAAATAAAAGAAAATAGGAGTGACAGGCCAAGATGGCGTGTAGATTCATTGAGGGGCACAGGGATAGAGTGGAGAGGGTTAGCTACAAACCAAGAGGAAGGAAGGAAGAAGGAGGAAGGGAGGGGAGGTATAAAGATGTTGAGATTGCTGATCAGGGTGTGACCGGCCCTTAGGGGGGAATGTGAGGAGGATCAGGCCTCCAACCTCCAAACACTTGGCCCCTCTCTCCCAGAGAGCGTGCTGGTATAACACCGCCTGGCCAGTCTTTGCCCACTCTGTTCGCCCCCATTCCTCCTGCAGGGAGTCTGTGTCCTTCCTCTCCTGACCTCCACGTTTGCTGTGCTGGGAGGTCCCATACCCCTTCCGTGCTGCGAAGGAACTTGCGGATGAGCCCTGGTGCCGGGTCAGGGTTCAAGCCCACACTCAACCCTGCCCGCGAACTGCTCCGTGTGTTAGGGTGACCCCATACTCCGCGCCCCTAAAAAGGGAAGGACATGCATCTCACTCAGAAACGAAACGTGCTGACTTGGCCTCTCCCCTTTCCCATCCAGTTCCCAGGGCGGACGGCAAAGGGCTGCCTGAACCACTCAGACATCCTCTGGGCAGGGTGTGAAGAACCGGGGGGGAGAGAGGGGGTTGCACAAAAGTCAACTCTGACCCCCTAAGGTCTAGGGGTTACTTTTCTCCCCCTTGGCCGGAGTCTCTCAGCGGCCGCGATCACTGGACCATGAATCGCCACTCAGCCAGGATCGCTGCAGATTCCAGGTCAGGGAATGCGGGGGTGAGGGCTGCGCACCATACATTTGGAGAATGGGGGTGCTGGTCTGGGTCCCCAGTTGCTGGTGAGAGGGTGGCAGCCAGCGCTGAGCCTGTGCAGATCGATGCGCTCGGCTGGCAGCGCTGTCAGGGGAGCCAGTCCGCGACCCGCGAGAGCCCGGCGGGCGGCGCCGAGTGGGCGGGACACCCTGGTGGAGGCGCGTCCCTATTGGCTGGCCGTTTGCGGGGAGCTGGGCCCTGATTGGCCGGGCCGCCGGGGAGGCGGTGGGCGGCGGGGTTAAGCGCGTCGCCGCCGCGCCCGGCCCAGGCGCAGGCCTGGAGCTCCGACCCCGCGCCCGCCGGGACCCGGTCCGCCCCGCGCCCGCCATGGGCCCGCGCCTCTGCCCCCGCCGCGCGGCCCTGCTCCCCGGCGGCCTCCTGCTCCTCCTGATGCTCGCGGACCCGGCGCTTCCGGCCGGACGCCCCCCTCCGGTGGTCCTGGGTGAGGCACGAACCTGGCAGGGGGTCTGTTCGCTGGACCGGGTATGGGGGTGAAGGGGAGGGGGTCTGGCTCCCCGGTTTGCTTCTGCTGCAAGCGCGAGGTAGGGGGTCGTGTGACTTGTCATTGGGGTCGGTCCGTTCACCTCCTGCCATACTGGCCGCGGGTGTGGTCAGCCTCTCTGTCACCTCCCCCTGTAGCATACGGGGTAAGTGGTGTTCTTCGCGGCAGTCCCAAACCTGGTCTTGCCTTATCCCCATTCCCCCCCTCCCCGTCCCGTTTTGTCTTTTAATTGTAGTTTTGATTGTAGGGTTGTGCGACTTATCCCCATTTTTTATTTATTTATTTGTTTGTTTGTTTTGTTTATGCCGGAAAGACTGAGGCCCTTTGGCCCCACTCCTGAGGGCCGGTTTGGAGGTAAGGAAGGTGGCCCCAGAGCTGGCCCCCGGGAGCCTTAGTGTTGACTTAGGCTTGCCTAGTAGGCCGTCTCCCTCGACCTTTTCAGCCCCTTACATGTCAGAAGGCATTGGGAGAGGTAAGAGGTGGGGCGGTGGCTCTGAACAGATGTCAGGAGCCTGGACTCATCCTTTCAGATTGATGTTGGGGCCGGGTGACCTCTCCTGCTTGTTTACCCGCTTCTTGATCCTGACCCCTGACAACTGTTCGGAGTCACAGCAGCGTTTCCTTGCGATGGGTGGTGGGCCTGGGTGAGACTTTAGTCTTGGGGGTCTTCGATGCCTCGTGCAGACTGTCTACATCTAGAGCAAGTGTGGAGGTGACCAGCCAGGGCTCCGGAGGCAGAGGCTTGCTGAGGTATATGTTACACAGAGTCTGCATGATCCCCATGCTTTTTTTGCGGGGAGTATTTTAATGGGGGTGATACAGATGACAGATGGGTAAGATTGGCAGGCAGGTTGGTCCTACGGCGTCCCTAAACCAGGAGCTCTGAGCCATGAAATGCTTCAGGGGGATGCAGGTTAGATATGGGCATTGGGCACCCTTGGTTCTGCCTTCGTTCAGCTTCCGGGATGATTCCCAGAGATGAGGTCTGTGCCGGGCAAGCACAGAGAATGCACTGACCCAGGCAGGGCAGGCTTCCTGGAGGATGCAGCTGGAGCTGTGGCCAGGAGAGTTCCAGGCACGGGGAACTACCGATCAGAGGGAAGGAGGGAGGGAGTCCAGGCTGTCTGCCATGGCGTGGTTTGGTGGGGGATGACAAGGAGGGAGAGAGGGAGGAGGTAGAGGGGAGTGGATTGTCCAGGCTCATGACCGGTTGGGTCATCTGAACTTTATCCTGGGGGCCTGCAGGCAGTCATGTGTGGGTCTGAGGAGTTCTGAGTAAAAGGGTGTGGCATTGGGAAGTGTGTGGTCCATGAAAGAACTGCGGAGAAAATCCTGGATGGGTGCTAACTCATTAAGTCATTCAGTTCTCCGTTATCCGAGGTTGGAGCAGAGGAGCCAATTCCCTACCCAGAGTCACAGAGCAACCGGAATGCTAACCTGCCCAGAGGGTGAGGCAGTTGGTATTAATCCTAGGAAACTCCGTGGCTGGCAGTTCCTGGCCACAGATCAGTAACCCAGGGATGACCAGCTTCAATGGATGGGACTCAGATGGCTAGAAGAGGAAGCAGAGGTCAGAGAAGTGACACAGAAGAAGACCCTGAAGGGACTGTATAGCAAGCTGTTTCTAACCTCTCCCAGACTCAGTCTCCTCATCTGTAAAGTGGACATAACAAGGATGTTCTCTCCCAGGGTCATTGGAGGTGAAAGGCACGTGGATGGCTTTTGCCCCAGTTCTAGGCACAAGGTCTGAGGAAGTGACCATTGCTATTTTTAGAGGCCACACGGCCCTGTCCGGTGTGTGAGAGGCATTGCCAGACAAAGCAGAACTGGTGGCTTCCTCTTTCAGCCGTTTCCTTCGGCGGAGATAATGACCAAGGTCTCTGTGTTCCCCTGCCCAGTCCACAGGCGTGTCACCCAGAGCCTGCTGTGCTGGGGACTCCCCACTTCTGCACCCACAGCAGGAAAGGAGGTGAAGGCAGGTGCTGCCCCCGGGGCGTTGTGAGATGGGGCACAGGGAGGGCATGCCCTTAGCGGGGCTGGGTTCACAGTCCAAGCCCAGTGAATGCCAAGGAGAGCCGGGCGCTGGTTGTTTGGTTAGTGATTATGGATCTTAAATGGGGATGAATGTGGCAGGTGCTGAGAGCATGGCATGTGGGAGCAGGTGAGGCCTGAAAGGTCACTGGGAGTAAATAAGCTCTAGAAGGCCTTGCATGATGCCTTGGTTGGATGGCTTAGTTGGTTGGAGCGTTGTCCCATGCACCAAAAGACTGCGGGTTCGATTCCTGGTCAGGGAATATACCTAGGTTGCAGGGTCAATCCCCAGTCAGCATGCAAACAGGAAAACAGGAGGCAATCATCGGTGTTTTTCTCTCTCTCTCTCTCTCTCTCTCTCTCTCTCTCTCTCTCTTTCTCTCTCTCATCAATAAACACGTGAGGAATAAAAACATAAAAATAAAAGCCTTGAATGTTGGGCAGCGGAGCAATGGGGATAGATTTTCAGGTAAAGAAGTTATCCTTTAGACCTAGTCTCCCCGTCCCACACCAGCTGTGACCAGAACGGTGTGTTGTTTCAGGGTAGCCAGCTCCAGCGCCTGGTCCGTGTGTGCCCAGCTGCTCGGGCTCTGCAGGTGGTCTGTCCTTTGGAACCTTCCGGACTCTGGCCTTTAGCAAAGCGTGGGGCCTCCGTAGGTCAGCAGGTGCCAATGTGAGCTTCTTTCTTTTCTTTTTTTTTTTAATGCTTTTTATTGATTTTTTACATAGAGGAAGGGATAGGGATAGAGAGCTAGAAACATCAATCAGAGAGGGAGAGAGTTAGAAACATCGATGAGAGAGAAACACCGACCAGCTGCCACTGGGGATGTGCCTGCAACCAAGACACATGCCCTTGACCGGAATCGAACCTGGGACCTTTCATCCATTGAGCCAAACCGGTTCCGGCAATGTGAGCTTCTTTCAATGTGAGCTACTCTCAACCTGTCTTGGAGCGCTTTCTCTTTGGGCTGGTTCGGTGGCACTGTGCTCTGTCCTTTCCCAATCCAGTCAGAGTGGACAAAGCCCTGCCTGGGACGGTAGAAGGCCTTTGGAGTCAGGCCTTGGGGGGTCTCCGGTCCGTCAGGCTCAGGGCTTCATGCATGTTCTTACAGTGCCTGGTGATTTGGGCAACCAGCTGGAGGCAAAGCTGGACAAGCCGAAGGTCGTGCACTACCTCTGCTCCAAGAAGACGGACAGCTACTTCACCCTCTGGCTGAACCTGGAGCTGCTGCTGCCCGTGATCATCGACTGCTGGATCGACAACATCAGGTGGGAACCGGGGTACAGGCCTACAGAGGCCCCCAGAGTCCATTTCCAGCTCATCCCCTCCTAAGAGACCTAAGGTCATTCCCCCTTCTCCCTTGCCACTTCCTTAATCTGCTCGGGCGCTGTCTTCCTTCTCAGACAGAATCTCTTCCCTTTCCTGCTGCTCTCTTTCTTACCTTCTCCCAGCCACACCTTGTGCTTGGAGCCCTACTTGTGGTTTCTGTGAATCTTAGCTGCCACACAGCCCTCACCCCTTCCCCTGCCTCTGGGTTGGCCACACCTGCCCCTCCAGCTGCTTGTTCTCCCTGGTATGCCAGGTCTCCGGGCTTTTGCTGACGCTGTTCTTTCAGCCTGGAATTGACCTCTACACCCTTCGCTCCACTCACCTTTTTTGTTGTTAATCCTCACCCAAGGATATTTTTTCCTCCATTGATTTGTTAATCCTCACCCGAGGATATTTTCCACCCACTGATTTTGTTAATCTTTACCCCAGGGATTATTCCCCGCCTGCCCGCCTTCCCCCATCCCCATTGATTTTGTTAATCCTCACCCAAGGATATTCTTTTTTAAAAAAAATATATATTTTATTGATTTTTTACAGAGAGGAAGAGAGAGGGATAGAGTGCTAGAAACATCGACCAGCTGCCTCCTGCACACCCCCTACCGGGGATGTGCCCGCAGCCAATATACATGCCCTTGACCTTGACCCGAATAGAACCTGGGACCTTTCAGTCCACAGACTGACGCTCTATCCACTGAGCCAAACCGATTTCGGCGAGGATATTCTTTCATTGATTCTCAGGGAGAGTAGAAGAGAGAGGAAAGACTGAGAGAAACATCCATGTGAGAGAAACACATCAATTGGTTGCCTCCTGCATGAGCCCTGACCAGGGCCCAGGCCCAGCAGGAGCCTGCAACCAAGGAGCCTGCCCTTGACTAGAATTGAACCCCAGACCCTTTAGTCTGAAAGCAGATGCTCTATCTACTGAACCAGGCCAGTTAAGGCCTCTCGTTGATTTTTAGAGAGAATGGGAGGAAAGGGAGGGAGGAGGGAGGGGAGAGAGAGAGGAATGCCGATGTGACGGAGAAACGTTGATCAGTTGCCTCCTAAATGTGCCCTGACAGAACTGGGCATTGGACCTGCAACCCAGGTATGTGCCCTTGACTGGGAATCAAACCTATGACCTATCAGTGCAAGAGTTGACACTCTAACCACTGAACACTACTGGCCAATCCCACCTCCTCCCGGCCCCATTCACCTTTTAAATCCTGAACATGTCCCTGCCACTCTCCAGAGCTGTTAATCTCTCCTACTCCCCATGCCACATGCCTGTTTCCTCTCTCATCAAACTTCATTTCCAAGGATGCTTCCCAATAGTAAGAATTACTGCTTATTGAATACAGACACTGTACATTTTACATATTTTCTTTCAGTCTTTAATATATACATATATATATATTTGCTTATTGATTTCAGAGAGGAAGGGAGAGGAAAAATATCAGTGATGAAAGAAAATCGTTAATTGGCTGCCTCCTGCATGCTCCCCATTGGGGTTTGAGCATGCAACCTGGGCGTGTGCCCTGACTTGGAATTGAGCCTCCTGGCTCGGCCACTGAGTCACGAGTCACACCAGCCAGGCTCATTTAGTCTTACAGCAATTCTGTGAAAGAGGTGCTGTTTATAAACCAGTTTTATAATATACGACATTTGGAATCTCAGATCAGTTACAAGATTGCCAGGGTCACTCAGCTACTAAGGGGCAAAACCAGGATTCAGACCCAGAATTGTATGACCCTGAGCTAAGTTTCCCTCTCAGACTGAGCTCCCTGAGGCAGGGACTCTATCTCTTTTATCTTTATAGTGGTAAAACCTGGAATCCAGCTGCTAAAAAAACACAAAAAAACAAAAAACACTTTCCAGCTTAATGGAATCTAACAAATTAAACTTTTTTCTTGGAGACGCACTAGCTGTCTCTGCAGGCACTGCCCCCTTCCCGTTGTTTAAGGTGCCTGCTTTGTTGACTCTTTCCTCTTCTGTGTGTGTTTTCATCAGAGCATTTCTGGCTGTTGATCTGCATTTCTATTTTTGTACCAGAGACATGGTCTCAGTTACTGCCCATCGGAGATGCTGGCTAACACCAGGAGGGGCTTATCTACCTTCATTGCTCCTCTGACTCTTTGACTTTCATCCAGCACCTTGGCTTTCCAGAACAATTTTCTGCACTTTGCTGAGTGGCCAATGGGGTGACCTACAGATTGCCCTTGAGAGAGTAGGTCACCAGGACCTATTATTTGGGTTAATGTTGGGAATCCTGTCAGCTTTGTGTAGCTAATCTTTAGGATGGGGTGGGACTCCGGGACTATTTGTGTAGCTTGTATTTTCTTGGGCACATTTGCCTCCTTGTCATCGGGGAGGCCAGAGCAGGATTCCTGGTTTGGCATAAGGCCTTCCTCCTGTTGCCCCATCATTTCTCTAAGGCTTCGTCTGTCTATCCACACAGCAGCCACTGAGATTGGGGTGGCTCTCTGTCTGGTTCTCTCATCATCTCCTTTGCCCTGGTATGTATGTGGTGGCTCGTAGGAGCTGGATCCATAGAGATGGAGCGATGGGAGTCTGTGAAGTTTGGTTGCCTTTTGGGGGCAAGTGTGATGTTCATGGCAGAGCCAGGCCTGGTGCTTCCCTCTCTCAAGCGGATCTAAGGCCTGTATTCTGGGGTGGGTGACATCGAGGAGAAGTGTCCTGTGTCCTGGGCTCTGCTTTTATAAAAATTTGATTTGAGAGAGAGAGATTTGTTGTTCTACTTATTTACTCATTCATTGGCTGATTCCTTTTTTTTTTTTTTTAATTTATTGATTTTTTAAAATATATATTTTTTATTGATTTTTTACAGAGAGGAAGAGAGAGGGATAGAGAGTCAGAAACATCGATGATGAGAGAGAATCATTGATCAGTTGCCTCTACACCCCCTACTGGGGATGTACCAGCAGCCAAGGTACATGCCCTTGACCGGAATTGAACCCGGGACCTTTCAGTCTGCAGGCTGACGCTCTAACCACTGAGCCAAACCGGTTTCAGCCATTGGCTGATTCTTTATGTGCACTGACTGGGGATTGAACCTGCAACCTTGACGTATCAGGATGATGCTCTAACCAAATGATCCATCTAGGGTTTGCGGAGTCAGTCTTTATTTTTTTTTTTTAATTAATTAATTATTTTTTTACCTGAGGATTTTTTTCTTCATTGATTTTTGGAGAAAGTGGAAGAGAGAAGGAAAGACAGAGAGAAATATCAATGTGAGAGAAACACATTGATTGGTTGCTTCCTGCATGAGCCCAACCAGGGCCGGGGAGGAGCCTGTAATTAAGGTATGTGCCCTTGACCGAAATTGAACCTGGGACCCTCCCGTCCTCAGGCTGACACTCCATCCACTGAGCCAAACCGGTCAGGGTCAGTCTTTAAAGTAGGCCTTGGAGAGAGTCCTCACTCTGATCTGTGCTTTATAAATTTGCTTTGTTATGTTGGGGACAACAAACTTTACACTCAAGATTCTTTTGGCTGGTCTAATCAAATAGAAAATACTGGTAACTGAATTTAATACATATGTACGTATGGGAACTCCACTTACATGAGAGAGTCAGAGACAAAAAGGGAACATCTATTTATATAAAAGGCTAATATGCTGAGTATCTGACTGTGACTGTCCAGGTAACAACACCTGGCTTCCTCTCCCCAGTGAGGACTAGCCTCAGGTCTAAACACTTTACACTGTAACCAAATGTCTGTGAAGCGGTTTCCCGTGCCTCTTCTCATTTGATCCTCACAGAAATCCTGGAGTAGGTAGAAAGGAGACTCGGTGGGATCCTATTTTCTTTTCATTCATTAGAAAATGGAGATTTAGCCGAGACCGGTTTGGCTCAATGGATAAAGCGTCGGCTTGGGGACTGAAGGGTCCCGGGTTCGATTCTGGTCAAGGGCATGTACCTGAGTTGCGGGCATATCCCCAGTAGGGGGTGTGCAAGAGGCAGCTGATCGATCACTCTCTCTCATCAATGTTTCTAACTCTCTATTTCTCTCCTTTCTTCTCTGTACAAAATCAATAAAATATATTAAAAAAAAAAAAGGAAAAAAAAGAAAATGGAGATTTAGAAACTTGACCCAACTGAAAAGAAGTAAGAAATGGTGGACCTTGAAAATGACCTCAGGTTTTCTCACTGTGCAGAATATAGTCAACCACTGCTGCAGTTAAATATTTTACCCTTTGTTCTCCCTGCCTAATCTACAATAATAATCTGCTTGGTGTTGCTATTTACTGCTGACAATTACCTGAAAGAGAAGCTGGGGTGCTTCACTGGGCTGGAAAAAGTTTAGCTACATCAGAAAGCAGGTCTAATTAAGCAAGTTTGTTCTATATCTATAAAAGACTAAGTTGACTCGGACATGTGCAATACATATAAAGCTCTTGCTGGCGCCTATCGCATGCATGTATTTTTTTAAAATTTATTTTATTTTTATATTGATTTTTTACAGAGAGGAAGGGAGAGAGATAGTTAGAAACATTGATGAGAGAGTCATCGATCAGCTGCCTCTTGCACGCCCCCTACTGGGGATGTGCCCCCAACCAAGGTACATGCCCTTGACTGGAATCGAACCTGGGACCCTTCAGTTCGCAGGCTGACGCTCTATCCACTGAGCCAAACCAGTCTCTGCCGCACGCATGTATTTTGATTTGTCATTATTGATAGTGAATTTGGTTGTTTTTGTTGACATTCTGAAGCTGAAAGAAAGCGGTGGCATCGCACAGAAGTAACAATGGTGATTAAATACTGTCGTAACAGTGATCTGGGTAGATATAATTATCTCTGTGTAATCAAAGTTGCCTTCATATTCAGAAACGAAGGTGGAGGACTTCCTTTTGAAAGGGCCCTGCTCACCCATTGTAAACCAGATTCCAATAATCCGAATGCCACTGAAATGAAACAAGTCAGTATCCTGTTTCCTACATTAGATGCAATGACGTATCCTATTCTTTTCCCACATGGTGAGAAAGGCTGGGGAACGGATATTGCATTAAGACTCAGAGAAGGCAGTGTAATTGACAATAATACTAGATTCAAGGGATGATGACGAAAAGGAAAGTTTTCCCATTGAATTTCTTAAAAGTATTACTCCTTTGGGAATGCCTGTCATAAATTAGAATTGAAAGTAGGTGCAATCATCATGTTACTGAGAAATCTTAATAGTAAATGGGGTCTTTGTAATGGTACTAGATTTATTATCAAAAGATTTTGACCTGTCCTAGCCAATTTGGGTCAGTGGATAGAGCGTTGGCCTGCAGACTGAGGGTCCCAGGTTCGAGTCTGGTCAAGGGCATGTACCTTGGTTGTTGGCACATCCCCAGTGGGAGGTGTGCAGGAGGCAGCTAATTGATGTTTTTTACTCTCCATCCCTCTCCCTTCCTCTCTGTAAAAAATCAGTGAAATACATATTTTTTTTTTTAAAGAAAAAGATTTCGACCTAACATAATCAAAACTGACGTATTAGCAGGATCTGCAGAAGAGAGGTTCTGATTCTAAGAATTGATTATTCCCATCTGACACTGGCCTTAGTGTTAAAATAAGTTTAATCAATTTATCAGTCGTTGTTTTTATCATATTGTTTTTATATCATGTTGTTATTGTTTATTTATTAATAAATTTATATATTCATATATATTTTACTAATTTTCTTTCATCTCTGACACTTCTATTACAGAGAAAGGGCGAATAGCGATATTAAAATATTTCTTCTAATTAATTTCCTTTCATGTGCTTGCATTTCGTGCACTGGGCCTCTACAGGGTATATAAGCTAGAAGAGCTAGGGTTGAGGTAAGGTGCCCTGTGGTTTTAATGGATCATTACAGAATGATAAGAACAATTGTTTAGTAAATAGAAGTTTGCCCTAGCATATAATTAATTAATGGTAATTATTATGGGCAAAGACCCTGATTCAAGTTAAAGGGAGGGGCAGCTAAAATTGTCCTTAGCTCAGAACAATCCACAGAAGTAATCTTCAGTGACTAGCTCTGAACCCCCAGTTACCTTTTGGTCTCCTTGTACAAGTGACCAAACCTGCCAAAGCCGGTTTGGCTCAGTTAGAGCATCGGTCTGCTGACTGAAAGGTCCCAGGTTTGATTCCGGTCAGGGGCATGTACATTGGTTGCGGGCACATCCCCAGTGGGGGATGTGCAAGAGGCAGCTGGTTGATGTTTCTCTCCCATTGGCGTTTCTAGCTCTCTCTCTCTTCCTCCTCTCCGTGAAATATCAATAAAATATATATATTAAAAAAAATTATAAAAAAAAAACAAAAAAACAAGTGACCAGACCTGAGAATGAGAAGGGAGTGTGGCTCAGGACACTGGGCAGCATTGGGACTCCAATTCAGTGCCAACCCTGGGTCACCAGCTCAGTGTTCATTCCCTCCTGACAGGCTGGTCTACAACAGGACGTCCCGGGCCACCCAGTTTCCCGATGGGGTGGATGTGCATGTCCCCGGCTTTGGACAGACCTTCTCCCTGGAGTTCCTGGATCCCAGCAAAAGCAGTGTGGGTATGTAGCCTCTCATGTTCTCTGGGGAATGAGGCTGGAGGTTTCCTGGACTCCTGGTGTGGGAGGAACCACTCAGTTGAAGGCAGAGTGGTTCTCTGATCAGTGTGGGCAGAGAGCACGCCTTCAGGGACCTCCCTGCAGTAATGTCACAGTGGCCTTGGCAGGCATGTTATAGGTGGCGGACTGGCACTGGCAGTACCCTTTGTAATCCTATGCATTTCTTTTTTTTTTCTTTGTTTTGTTAATCCTCAGCAGAGGATATTTTTCCATTGATTTTTAGAGAGAGTATAAGGGAGAGGGAGAGAGAAACATTGATGTGAGAGACCCATTGATTGGTTGCTTTCTGCACTTACCCTGACCAGGGCCAGGGAACCTGCCACGGAGGTACATGCCCTTGACCAGAATCAAACCTGGGTCCTTTCAGTCTGTAGACTGACACTTTATCCACTGAGCAAACCGGCTAGGGCTATTTATTTATTTATTTATTTTTACTTTAGAGAGGAAGGAAGAGGGAGAAAGAGAGAAATATTGATTGGCTGCCTCCTGCACGCCCCGTTCTGGTGATGGAGCCTGCAACCCAGCTTGTGCCCCTGACCAGGAATCGAACTGGTGACCTCTTGGTGCATGGGACATGGGACAACACTCAACCAGCCAAGCCACACCAGTCAGGACTAATCCTATGCATTTCTGTGTATAGGTTCCTATTTCCACACCATGGTAGAGAGCCTTGTGAGCTGGGGCTACACAAGGGGTGAGGACGTCCGGGGGGCCCCTTATGACTGGCGCCGAGCTCCAAGTAAGTGATCGCCCGTGTTTCCCCCTGCGGTCCTGGGAGGTGGCGACAGGGGGTCACAGTCACCATAGGCCTGGGCTCTCCCCTACTCCTGGTCAGTCTGTCCTGTCTTTCCCCTTCCGTCACCCCAGGATGTCTGGGCCTCTGAGCCCCAGAGAGAGGTAGTGAATCTGAAGAGGGGGGAAAAGGAGCCCCTTTGATTCCTACCTTCTTTGAACGGGAGGGGAAACCATATTACTCCCACTCGAATTTTAGCATCCTCTCCTAGTCCTGGGTCTGGCCTGAGAAACGGTCCTAGTTCAGGCCCCAGGACCCTGACTCCCGCCTGACTCCCGCCCGCCCGGCTCTGGCCTGCAGATGAGAATGGGCCCTACTTCCTGGCCCTCCGGGAGATGATCGAGGAGATGCACCAGCTGTATGGGGGCCCCGTGGTGCTGGTTGCCCACAGCATGGGCAACATGTACACGCTCTACTTTCTGCAGCGGCAGCCACAGGCCTGGAAGGACAAGTACATCCGTGCCTTCGTGGCACTGGGTGCGCCCTGGGGGGGCGTGGCCAAGACCTTTCGCGTCCTGGCCTCAGGTAAGAGACTGCCTGGTCCAGCGTGGGGGGCTGGTGTTGGGAGCGGTACCCCTCTCTTTCCCTCTACCGTGTCCTCCTGGGGAACCCTTCTTTCTCCAGAACGGTATACTTTTCCAAACAATGTCACCTCTCTAGTTGAGGACCTTTGTTATCCGTGTAAGTTTCTTTCTTTTTTTAATATATATTTTATTGATTTAAAAAAAAAACAACACACACACATTTTGCCGAAACCGGTTTGGCTCAGTGGTAGAGTTGTCGGTCTGTGGACTAAAAGGTCCCAGGTTCGATTCCAGTCAGGGGCATGTACGTTGGTTGCAGGCACATCCCTGGTAGGGGGTGTGCATGAGGCAGCTGGTTGATGTTCTTCTCTCATCGATGTTTCTAGCTCTCTATCTCTCTCCCTTCCTCTCTGTAACAAATCAATAAAATAAAAAATAAAAAAATTAATAAAAAATAATAAAAAAATAAAATATATTTAAAAAACAAAAACAAAACAAAACACATTTTATTGATTTTTTTACAGAGAGGAAGGGAGAGAGATAGAGAGTTGGAAACATCAATGAGAGAGAAACACACCCCCTACTGGGGATGTGCCCTTGACCGGAATCGAACGTGGGACCTTTCAGTCCACAGGCCGACGCTCTATCCATTGAGCCAAACCGGTTTCGGCTCTGTGTAAGTTTCTTATAGCGTGTACGTGGACATAGCTCTCGGCCATGCAGTGCTTGCTTGTGCACACGTGTGCACACACTGTGCTCAGGCCTGGCTGCCTAGCTCGGTGTGACCCAGGGTTCTTTGAGGGGAACCTTCTTCTCTCCTATCCTCCTATACTCACGCTCTCATTCCCACCTCTGCCTCAGAGAAGGAAGGCTGGACAGCAGTTTCCTGTTTATGAGTTGCACCTCCATGTGCAGCAGCTCGGAACCTCTGTTGGCAACACGAGGAGGAAGCAGGTGCAGATCTGTTTGGGCCTGCTTGCTAGGCAGTTGGGAAAGACACCTTTTTCCCCATTCCATTTCTCCCCGATTTACTTGAATTTTCTTTTTTGTTTTAAATATTTTAATTGTTTTTTTTTTAATGGGAGAAGTATATTTTATTTTTTAAGAAATATATTTTATTGATTTTTTTACAGAGAGGAAGAGAGAGGGATAGAAAGTTAGAAACATCCATCAGCTGCCTCCTGCTCACCCCTACTTGGGATGTGCCCGCAACCAAGGTACATGCCCTTGACCGGAATCGAACCCGAGACCCTTCAGTCCTCAGGCCGATGCTCTATCCACTGAGCCAAACCGGATTCGGCTGGAGAAGAATATTTTAATTGATTTTTTTTTTTTTAAGAGGGGGAGAGAGAGAGAGAGAGAAACATCCATGTGAGAGTGAAACATGGATCAGCCCACCTCCTGCATGCCCCCTACCGGGGATTGAGCCCACAACTTTTGGTTGGGTGCTGACTGGGAATTGAACTGACAACCTTTCAGTGCACAGGACAACACCCAACCAACTGAGCCACACCAGCCAGGGCCACCTGCGTTTTCATGACTGTCAGAATCTGCCAACTACAGTCATAGGACTTCCCTCCCTCTGCCCCATGTGACCCTATGGCCCCTCACTTTAGGAACCTTAAGCCAGGATTGTGCCTCTGGGCTGGCAACCTGCTGGTCCACCTTTGATAAGGTCACTGCCCACAGGGCTGTGCCAACCATCTGGTGAGCTTTCTTCCTCAAGTCACCGGCACTGCCTGATCTGCTTGTTGGGCCAACTGGTTGTTGTGATCAGGTCAGACCCAGCGTCTGTCCGTATAGTGACCCTGGATTGGCTTTGCCTCGGATACTGGGAGACTGTTCTTTCAGGCCCTGGCACTCTGGGAGCAGGACTGGGTGGGAAGGGTGATAGTCATGGCCCCCGAGGTGGGTAGCCAGGCCCCGCCAGGCAGAGCTGTGGTTCCGTGGTCAGTCCGAGAGGTAGACGGGCGGCTCCCGTTCCCAAGTTCCAGCTCACCCCCTCCCCTGGGAGTTTCCCTGGCTGCTGGGTGTGTTTGTATTGTTGGCATTCCTGTGTTTGAAGGACTCCTGCTCTCTTCTGCAGATCTGCCTGGGGGCCTGGCTGACCAAGTCAGCCACAGGCAGGACTGGCTGGCTGTTAATTCTAAGCCCAGAAAAAGAAAAGTATTTACATAACTCATTGTAATTAAAAAAAAAAAAAAAAAAAAGGGAGTGTGCCTCTGTACTGATAGCCTGCCGGTTCATCTTGGGTGAGGTCAGTGCCCACAGGCCCGGCGATATTTCACCTTGTGGGTGTGTGTTGCCTAAATCCCTGGTGAAGAAATGCAGGAGGGAAGAAAAACAAGTCTTGGTTGGGTGCTTCCCAGGGGTAGCTAATCTACAGGGAAACAACGGTAATGCAGGCATGTGAGTTGTTTTTTTTTTTGTTTGTTTGTTTTTTTGTTTTGTTTTGAATCTCCCAATTTTATTATTATTATTTTTTTTATTATGGTTTCACATAATTGTCCTCATCCCCCCAATCCCATCCCAAATCCCTCCCTACATATGCCGTCGTGGTCCCCCCCCCCCCCCCCCCCCCCCCGTTGTCCATGGCCACTGGCCAGGCCCATATGCATGCACACAAGTCCTTCGGTTGATCAGGCATGGGAGTCACGATGATAACTGGAGAGGCTGGGGTGCTGACTGGGCCCTGGTTGGGGTCCAGCAGGGGCCCCGGTGGTGAACACGGCGCCCAGCCAGCTTGCCTTCCTGAGCACCGATTGACGGGGGCCCTCTTCCCCGCAGGGGACAACAACCGGATCCCGGTCATTAGTCCCCTGAAGATCCGGGAGCAGCAGCGGACTGCCGTCTCTACCAGCTGGCTGCTGCCCTACAACTACACCTGGTCCTCCGAGAAGGTCTTCGTGCGCACGCCCACGGCCAACTACACGCTGCGCGACTACCGCCAGTTCTTCCAGGACATGGGCTTCGAGGACGGCTGGCTCATGCGGCAGGACACGGAGGGGCTGGTGGAAGCCTCGGTGCCGCCCGGCGTGCCCCTGCACTGCCTCTACGGCACTGGCGTCCCCACCCCGGATTCCTTCTACTACGAGAGCTTCCCGGACCGCGACCCCAAGATCTTCTTCGGCGACGGCGACGGCACCGTGAACTTGCAGAGTGCCCTGCAGTGCCAGGCCTGGCGCAGCCACCAGGAGCAGCAGGTGTCCCTGCAGGAGCTGCCGGGCAGCGAGCACATCGAGATGCTGGCCAACGCCACTACCCTGGCCTACCTGAAGTTCCTGCTCCTGAGGCCCTGATTCTGGTGCCAGGCAGGGCTGTGGGACGGCATGGCCACAGCGGCTCCTCGGCCTCCCCGGGCGGCCGCGGCCTGTAAGGTTAGCGGTTTGTAACTGACCTTCCAAGGCCACACAAGGTCTTGGGTGATGAGACATCTGCCGTTGGGAAGGGCCGTGTCTTATCCTTCCTCTGGGAGTGAGGAAGGAAGAAATAGTCTGGCCTCGCCCAAGGGACTCTGAATGGAGAGAACGCTGCTGCTGCTGATGGAATCGTTGTGACCTCAGGACTGGCGGCAGGTGGACTGGCTGCACCTGGATCCAGTACCCCAGCTCAGGGTCCATGTGTTCCTTTCTACTCCTGTGGCCATTGCACATGGCCCACTAGACCCCCCTGGGCCCTCAGACTTCCTGTGAGGGATGTTACTGAGCTGCGGTCCCAGCGACGGGCTCCCTGGTCCCTAGGGTGATCCTTCCCACAAGCTGGCCACAGGTACCGCTGCCCCTGGCCACGGGGAGCTGGAGCTGCTGCCTTTTCTGAGGCCTCGCTGCACAGCAGCCTAAGTGTGGCTCTCTGGGGGCAGCCCGTTTCCCCCTGCAGGCAGGGCTGGGCCGGGTTTTTTGTGGTTCCCAGGCTGTGGGGCGTTCACTCCTACCTCCCTCACCTCCAAGAACAGCCTAGCTGAGGATTGGGCAGCACATCCTCCCCCTCCCCAGATCTGCAGGCTGTATCCCAGGAGCTCTGACCCCCTAGTTGGGCATTGCCGGCTGACAGTATCGATGCTGGCTCCCTTCACCCTGGGACTGCTCCCGATGAAGAAAGAGAACTCAAGAGCGGACCAAGGTGACTTGGAGCTTCCCCATAGGGTTTCTCTAGGACCCAGGTGGGCCAGCACAGGGCTGAGAGGAAGTTGGGCTCTTGCCCACCCTGCCCAGCACCTACCTCCATCGGGCAGCACCGTGGTGTGTAGTCTCCAGGGACTAGTTCAGGAACTTCTGTGGGCCCCCCATGAGAGCCAGGTGCCTTGGAGTCCCCCCTGCGGGGTTCCTGTCTGCCCCCAGATGCTGAGTGGGTCAAGCATGTCAAACTCAAAGGCTAACACGGGCCAAATAAACTAGGCACGCTGCCTGCGGGCTGCGAGTTTGACATGCTTGGCACGGGTCTTCCTATGAGAGCAGGGCTGGAGAGTCTGTATCTGCCTTTCGGCAGTGGTCTCTGAGGGGGCAATGACTATAGGCCAAGACTTGGTTCTAGCCTCTGGGGTGAGAGCCCAAAACCACAACCAGGCTGGACTGTTCTGCCCTCCCACAGGCTTCTTTGGACCCGGGTTTTCTGTTGTGTACGTACCCAGCATCTGTCTCTCTCTGTTCCTGAGTGGTGGGCCCGGATCGGGCTCTGAGCAGGCTGTGTCTTGATTATGGCAATAAAAGTATTCTGGATGCTGTCAAGTTGCCTGGCCTATGCTCTTATCGGAGTGTGAGAGGAGAGAGCTAGAGGAGGGGTAATAAGAGGGCTTGAGGGCAGGTAATCAGGGGCCAGGTCTTTCCTGCGGCCTCGGTGGGTTATCTCAGCACCAAAGCAAGGCTCCTCTGCACCACTTTGGGCTTTATTCTCCTGGGATCTAGTTCCCCTCCTGGGACTAAGAACCAAGACCTGAAACATCCCTTTAAAAAAAAAAAAAAAGTAATATTGATTTCAGAGAGGGAGGGAGAGAAACATCAATGATGAGAGAGACTCATTGATCGCTTGCTTCCTGCACACCCCCTACTGACTGAGCCTGCAACCTGGGCATGTGCCCTTGGCCGGAATAGAACCTGGGACACCCTTCAGTCCGCAGGCCGACGCCTCTATCCACCGAGCCAAACCAGCTTGGGTTGAACCATTCCTTCTGGAATGCAGCTCCTGCTCCTGCCTGGTCAGCAGGCCTTCTATGCCACCCCAGATCGGGGTACCAGAGACAATACTGCAGGTCACCCTGGTTGGACTCCCTTCCCAGCTTCCTCTTTTCTCTCAGCCTATAGGTCTCAGCATGCTTCGAACCTAGAGTTCTTTTTAGGATGCCATCCTTCTGTTTTGTTTCAGCTCATCTGTCCTGCTAGGGGACAGAGTGAGACTGAGGGAGGCTGAGACTGGTGTGATCAAGATGGGTAGAGATGGACTGAGAGATTGGGGACCAACTGGAAATGGATAAAGAGAGAGTCTTGATACAGGAAAACATGCATAGGGATGGGGCCCAGACCTGAATTCTCTAGTACAAAGCCCAGAGCCAGCCAGGGGCCTGGTAGGGTGGTGGGAGCGCTAGTTCCTATGTACAAGACAGGACCAGCCTGGGCTTCAGGCTTTGATACATCCCTGAGGCCACTAGAAGGCGCTCTGAACCCTCCCACTGCACTCGTTATTGGCCAAACCTGGAGGAAGCGTTTGTCCAGAGAGGGTGAGGGTGCATCGCTGGCCTTGGCAAAAAGATGACACTATGAAAGGGAGCAGACCCGCACCCCCAGGCACTACGCGGCCTGACTCCCAGCTCTGCCTTGATACCCACCCATCCTCGCCACACCCCTGACCCATTTCAGCTGAACTGCCACCCTTTGTTCCCAGCTGCAAAGAGAGCATGGAACCAGAGCAGGCTTCAGGACCTGCAGGCTGGGGTTCCACTCTCAGCTCTGCCAGCACAGCCACGTAGCCTGTGGACTCTCCTTGTTACCAGACAGGGACTGCCCCAGTGAGGGTCTCGATTTGCGCAGGAAAGATGTCACAGCATTTTGAGAGAAGATCCCAGGTGATTTTGAGGGTACGTTTATGAGAGCTAGGGGCAGCGAAATAAGGAAGGGCTTAGGAAAGCAGCAGCAACAGGAGCGAGACTCAGGCGGGGCTGCTTTTGCTCTCTAGGAACTTTAGGAGGAAGAAATGGGCCAGGCGGGGCTGCTGTCGGCTCACTGACGAGTCAGAAGAAAGGCCTCATTGTTGCAAGTCTTGGGTCCCTTAGCGCTTAGGGGACGCACCGGGCATGCTCCCGGGAGGAAGAGTGGGTGCTGATTCCTGGGGCGTGGGTTTTAGAGGCTGAGAGTTTAGGAGAGAGGTCTTAGGGAAGGATCTCAATAGAATAGTCACCAGCTTTTCTAGGTGAATACTCTCAGGGTCGTGGTCGCCGCTGGTTGGTTGGCGCCGGGAACAGAGGGTCAATGGTTATCGCAGCTGGTCCTGGCTTCGCGCACCTGGTTTTGCTGCTTTTATGGGCTTAGAGCTGAAATACAACCAAGGCCTAATGTCATCTGTTATCGCTAAGGAGGAAAAGAAGGGGTATCGGGGGGCGGGGATTAGCCCACATGGCCAGGGACACACCAGGGGTGGAAAGACCATCCTGGGGACGAGGTCCAGCACAGTTTTTTGGCCATTGCTAAGCAACAGGGATTTCCACCCTGGTAACCTTCTGTATCTGGCCATAAAGTACTTGGCCAGTTTGTTCAGCTGCCTGTCTCAGTTTCCGCATTTCACTCGCCAAGGAATTGTCCTAGCTTCTTACTATCCTGTATCACTCAGACTTCCCTGGGCCTCAGTTTGCTCGTCTGAAGAATGGGGATGAGTAAATACGCCCTGGGGAACACTGATAGTGTTGGAGGCCATCTGACTCGGTACTTACTGGGTACCTAGTGGGCTTTCCACTGGTGGGCTGCTGTAACGGTGCCAGACAGTAAACTCCCAGTCTTGAAAACCCTCACAACAAGTACCCAGGGCGTGTTCTCCCGGGCCTTTCTTCCCTCTCAGGCGGGTATCTCCTAAATTCTTCAGGGTCCCACTTGCAACCAGGGGAACAAAGGGCGGCTGCCGTTCGATCTGGCTTACCCCCCTGAACCTGTCTCCAAGATCCCTTTCCTCTGACTCCCCTGCGAGCCATTGCAGCCCTCTCCTGATGCTGCTTCTACCAGTGTGTACCCTAAGCCCTTGCGTGTCCCACCGTCCCTGGCTTCAATAAATGTCCTCTTAAAGTCACCTGGCCTCCGGTGTGAAAGCTTTTCCGCATGAAGTCCAGAACCCAACACCTACCAGGCCGGCCGGAGGCAGACCCGCTCCGGGCCTGGTCCCTTTTCTGGTAACATGGGAAGCTGGAAGGTCTTTTTTTTTTTTTTTTTTAAATATATTTTATTGATTTTTTACAGAGAGGAAGGGAGAGAGATAAAGAGCTAGAAACGTCGATGAGAGAAACATCGACCAGCTGCCTCTTACACACCCCCCACCAGGGATGTGCCCACAACCAAGGTACATGCCTTTGCCCGGAATCAAACCCAGGACCCCTCAGTCCGAAGACCGACGCTCTACCACTGAGCCAAACCGGTTTCGGCAGAGCTGGAAGATCTTATATGTGTGGCTTTTGCAAGGACACGTGGACTGGCTGCTATGGAGTGACACAGGTGTCCAGAGCCCTTTCTCTGCCTGGCCAGGTAGGCAGGGAGACCTGATGGGGGGGAGAGGGGGAGAGAAAGGGTTAGACTCCAGTGACTCCAAGTATGCATAAACTCTCACTGACACTTAAAGGTATTCCAAGCAGGGAGTGTGGAGGGTGGCACCATTGAGGGCTCTTCAAAGTTCATCTCAGGTCCACCGGAGGGAGGATGGGAGGTTTTTAGGCAGCGGAGACATGAAGTCATTCCAATCTGTCTTTTCATAGCACCCTCTCCCCAGTGGGGATGAGTCAGGGGGAGCAGGACAGGGATTGGGAGGCCATTACCGCTGGGGAGTTGGAGGAGGATGGGTCCAAGTGCTGTCCATCTCTGGCTGGGCCACTGGGGGGTGGGGGACAGGGGTTTGGGTGTGGTTAGTGTGGAGCCAAAGGATGTGCCAGTTGTGAACACATTTCTGGGGGAAATGACTCCCCACGGCCCCGGAGAGAGACAGGGCTTGACATGTGGACAGGAAGCTGAGGGGGAGTGCTCAGCTGCCGATGAGGCCAGGAGGCCCAGACAGAAAGAACTCCAGGGCCATTGGAAGAAAAAGAGCCCTAGGAGCTGGAGGAGGCGCAGCCACA